TTAAACGGTAGTGTGTGTGATGCCCTGAGTTCAATCCCCAACTGATTGATTTTTTTTTTCAATCTGAAAAAAAAAAAAGTAAAAGACATATACTGGACTAAAACTTAGACCTTATGACTCTTAGCTGTTCCTTGCATCTATTTGGATTTTACTTCCAAAGCCCACTAAGAATACTGAATTTACTTGTTCTTGACACTAGGCCAAGACATTTGGTACTGCAAGCTAAGGACAGGAGAGCCCCTTGTCTTATACTGGCAGAAGTTGAAGAACAAGAGACAAGGATCTAGATGATTCTAGACCCCCTGGATGGAGTATATAATCCCAGCTACTCAGGCCTTACATCATTTCTCCATCAGACTGTATAGGAAAGGATAGGTCTGTGCACTCTGGCTTGATACTATGTAAAGCTGTAACCAGAAGGACCAGGCACTTGAAGGATTCATTGGCTCTCAATTCCACCTACTACCAAGTACCACCAGTCCTAAACTACAAGCTGAGATTAGTCCCCTATGTGGGATGACCACATTCCCAGAAAGAAGTAGCAAGAAGAAGAAGGATATAAAACTTTGCAAATTCTTGTTCTTAATCTAACAACTTTTTTTTTTGATACCAGGGATTGAACCTAGGTGTGCTTAACCACTAAGTCACATCCCAGCCTTTTTTAATATTTTATTTAGAGGCAGGGTCTCACTGAGTGGCTTCGGGCCTCTTTAAGTTGCTGAGGCTAACTTTGAACTCATGATCCTCCTGCCTCAGCCTCCCAAGCCTAGAGGCATGCAACTATATTATTATTAAAGGTGTGCAAAACCAGGCCTAATACCTTTTTGTATTTCTACTCTGATTGGAAAATGATGATGATGATTTTTTTGTAATACTGGAGATTAAACCTAGGGGCTCCTACATGCTTGGTAAGTGCTCTGTCACTGACCTACATCCCCAGCCTTTTTTATTTTATTTTATTTGCCCAGGCTAATGTAGAACTTGCAATCCTCCTGTCTCAGGAGGATTAAATAGATGGATTACAGGTGTGCACCATCTCATTTGGTTCAGACTGACATTTTCAAAAGAACTTTAAAATTCTGTTTTCCTGGTGGGTGTTGTGGCACACACCTGTAATCCAAGCTACTTGGAAAGCTGAGGAAAGAGGATCAAAAGTTTGAGACCAGACTGGGCAACTTAGTGATGAAGTAGGTTAGAATATATAAGGATGGGTATTTTGAAAGGAGACAAACAGGGAAGGAAAGAGGGACTGTATTTGTAAACTAAAAACTCCATGAACACCTCACTTTCACTCCCCAGGCCTGTCTTCCTCAAGGCCTGAATTCTTAAGAGATCCAATAAGTCTCAGAATATTATAAATCCAAATTAGTGTCTATATTCCTTTTTAGTTTATAGAATGTATTTCTAGACTGATTAAAAGAAGCCGAGAGAGATGATGTTTAAAAACCCATGATACAGGGCTGGGGTTGTGGCTCAGTGGTAGAGCGCTTGCCTAGCATGTGTGAGGCACTGGATTTGATTCTCAGCATCGCATATAAATAAATGAATAAAATAAAGGTCCATCAACATCTAAAACAGATTTTAAAAAATGATACAGTTCAAGATCTATTAACTAGAAAACGTCAGCCTGAAAATTCTAAGAAGACCAAAGCCATCATGACTCACTGTATACTCTCCATGAGCAAAAAAAAAAAAAAAACGGATCCAGATGCCATGGCACATGCCTAGAATCCCAATGACATGGGAGGCTAAATCAGAAGGATCACAAGTTCAAGACCTGCCTCTGCAATTTAGCGAGACCCTGTCTCAAAATAAAAATTGAAAAATGGTTGGGGATGTAGCTCAGTGGTAAAGCTCCCCTGGGTTCAATCTCCTGTACCAAATGGAGGAGGAGGAGGGGGAGGGGGGAGGAGGAGGCGGAGGGGGAGGGGGGAGGAGGAGGAGGAGGAGGAGGAGGAGGAGGGAGGGGGAGAAGAAAGGAAGGAAGGAAGGAAGGAAGGAGGGAGAACTGTGTTCATTAGGCTGACACTGCCACTGCATGCTTCCCATGCTCACTATTTACAAAGTTTAAAAGAAGCAGCCCCCACCAGGGCACAGTAGCAGGTCTGTATTCCCAGTAACTCAAAAGGCTGAAGTAGGAGGATGACAAGTTCAAAGCCAGACTGAGCAATTTGATGAGGTACTGTCTTAAAAGAAAAAATAAAAAGATCTGGGATATAGCTCAGTGGTAAAGCACCTCTGGGTTCAATTCCCTAGTGGGGCGGGTATAGAGAAGCAGGAAAATAAGAAGCCTAAAACCCCCAAAACACATCTTAATCTCAAGTGTCCACACTCTCTTCCTTTTGTTTTTGACTCCCTCTCCCTTTGACTGTGTAGCCTGCTCTATTGTGTGTTGTCCTAAATAAATCCCCTTGCTTTCTTAATAAGTCTTTGCTTATGCCTTTTTTAACTTGTCCTGAAGTTCCTTTCTGTGGCATATGTCAAGAACCTGCCAGGGCTCACTTGAGGTCCCCTTTTCCCCTTCCAGGGTAGCTCCTTGGACCCAATCCAGTGACAGACCAAGTCTCAAAAAAAAAAAAAAAAAAAAAAAGGCAGGGGAGGTGACTTGGAATATAGTACAATGGTAGAGCATTTGGCTAAAGTGCCTGAGGCCCTGGGTTTAATCCCTAGTACCACAAAAAAAGAAAATGTTAGTCTGTTTCCCAAGTAGCAAAGCAGAAAAGAGCTACTGTTGATTCAGCACCTACTGTATGCCAGGCTTACTTAAACCTTACATTGGCCCTGTGAGCAATTAGTACCTTCAGTTCAAAAATAAAGATACTGTGAGAGCATAAAGTAACTTGCCCAGGGCCCTTGTATAGTATAGAGTGGAATATGGCTTTGAGCCAAGGTTCATAAGCATATGTTCTTCCTTTAATCCACTAACCTGACTACAAATAAGATTTCTGCAAAGGGGTTATTTTAGAATAAAGAGAACTGGGCAGGGGCATAAAAGGCAGAGAATTTTAAAGGGCAAAAAGCCAAGACATTATCTGAACACTGCCTGCACCTTCCAACCAAACAGCAACCCTTAAATTTGGGTGTGCAGTTTAAATCAAGAATAAACTTTCTTTGGATGGATGCTGGCTGAGCTGAAGAGGAATGACTTCAACAGCCAGTCATTTATTGCATGACTTTTATTTGCAAAACATAACTCACAACATAATTTTCATAATCAAGAAGTTTACCATCTCATGGGGAAACCAGATATTGAATACTTTAGTAAAAACATCAGAATTAAGATGTAAGGAAAATGTGCTACTCTCCTATGTGGGAGGCAACGTGAGTTACCTCCCTGGCTGGGGGAGAGGCGAGAGGCCCTTAGACACATCTTTGTGTCCAGAACTTTCCCCACCCTTCTCAGGTTGAGGGCTTGTCTGTGTAAAGGCGTGCCTGACCACAACCCCTGAAGACCCAATGGTCTCACCTGACTTTGGGACACTGCCCCCCTTAATCTTCATTGGAAGGGATTTTCCCCAGAATTTTTGTTACCCAATAACAGTCCACTCCCTGGCGTGTTCTCTCTCTTGCTAGCCTCTTCAGTAAACCTCGCTACTCTAATAGGTAGCTTGAGGCTGGGGGTACAGAAGCCGTCCTGGAGCTGGTTTAAAGGTAATTCAAACTCTCTTTGGATTTCTCCCTTCACCTATGAAGCCTGTGCTGGCCGCCGGCTAAACTCCTGGATGATGTAATAAATGCAATTGGTAAGAAATCTTCACATGGAGTTAGTTGAGAAAGTGAGTGTAGGTATTGTGGATATAAGAAAGAGGGGTGGTTGAGGACCAGCTTTCAAAGCACTGATAAGTGTTGACTGTGGGGGCTGGAGTTGTAGCTCAGTGGTAGACTGCTAGCTTAGCATGTGTAAGGCACTGCGTTCGATTCTGTACATCACATATAAATAAAATAAAGGTCCATTGACAACTAAAAAATATTTAAACAAAAACAGGTCCGGGGTTGTAGCTTAGTGGTAGAGCGTTTGCCTCGAACGCGTGAGGTCCTGGGCTCAGTCCTCAGCACCACATAAAAATAAATATAAAAATAAAGATATTGTGTCCATCTACAACTAAATAAAGGAACAAAAAAGTGCTGATGGTGAAGCTGTGCCAAAGAAAGAGAAGGCCAGCTGCAGAACTGAGGGGAGGTTTTGTTTAGGGCAGTGGAGCATCTGGAGGAGAGGCTAAGGATCGGAGGAACTCGTGCAGAGGGAAGATAGTAGACTCATACTAATATAAATAATAGCATAATTAGAAGAATTAGTCCTCTATGGTTGCCTATATAGTAGAGGTGAACTGGGCAAGGTCGTCGATAGCACGGAGATAATTTCAGTTATGGAAATGGAAGGGAGGACGGGTGTGATCTGTGACCTGAAATGGGGAAAAGCTGAGAGTACTGGATTATCTGGCTTTGTGGGAAATGAAATCATCTTTTAGGCCAGGAAGGCTGAGATGATTACTAGCTTAGAAGACTTGGAAAAGTCTGGAAGTGTGATTGGGAGAACTATGCACATACTCATGATGCACAGGCGGGCAACAGCGACCCAAAAGCACTGATAGCCGTGGGCTGGCCTGAACCTCTGGGAGGAGTTGCCGCTGTACCAGGGGCCTCACTCCACACAGCTGGACCGGAGCGTACCACCCCTAGGGAGCAGGTGGCAGAGCCGCCCAGGAAGAGCCGGGACACAAGCGCGCGCTCTGGGGGGGCGCGGAGCAGGAGGGACGCGCGGGGGCGCGGAGCGAGCGCGGGCCGCCGGGAGCGGGGGGCGGGCCCGAACAAGCGGGCCTCTGCGCGGCACTTGGCACGCACGCGCAGATGGGCCGCGGGCCCCAGAGGCAGAGAGGAGGGGGAGCAAGAAAAGAGCGGGGTGTGGAACGTATTTCCGCTCTGGCGGACAAATAATCCTGGCCAAAGGGGAGGCACGGCTGTCCAGCCCTTTAACCGCGTGGGGGTGCCAGTGGAGAAAGGGGGGTCGGGAAGGGGGGGGATCCTGCTCCTTTAATTCCCTCCCCTCTTCCTCCTCCCTGAGTCCTCGCCGACGCCGCCGAGCGCGGGGCCTGGAACACACGGCACGAGCTGCCCCCGCCCCTCCCCCCTTACGCCCACGCGGAGTCGGCCCCGCGCGCGCGCCCCGTTCACCCCCCGCGCCTGCGCGCTGCCCAGGCCCTGCCCGTGTGTGTGGGGGGCGCTGCCGGCCCCGGGGGGGTGGGGGAAATAGGGGGGAAAAAAAACAGCGCGCGGAACTCGGCCAGGTGAGAGACGCGTGCACTCAGGGTCGTGGGCTGGTGGTGGGGGGGGGCGTGCCACGGAGCTCTGAGCGTGGGAGGGGGGCGTGCACGATGCGTGCAGGCGGCTGGGAAGGACGTGTAAATGGGGATCAAGGGAAGCAGGCAACGGATAAAGGGGGCGGGGTGAGAAGAGCGTGCAACCCTGGTCACCCTAGAGTCCAGAGCCCCAGGATTCTGTCCCCCTTTCTTCGTCCTTCCCCTGTGGGCGCGTGGGCTAGCCCCTGGGTCGCGGGCCGCCGGTCTGGGGGGTGTGGACCGCTGCCCCGCCCCCAGGAACCACGCCTCCCTCCTCTCCCAGGGCCAGCGCCTCCCGGGGGTTCGGGGAAACTGAGGAAAAGGCTTGAAGACTGGGAGATTGGATGCTAGGGGTGCCGAGCAAGAATGGGAGCGAGAGGCCTGGACCCCTGGCTTCGGAGAGCCAGAGACCTTTGTCTCTGACCGGTTTCCTTCCCAACCAGGGTTGCCCACTCCTGCCACAATGGCCTCTGGGGTGGAAGTCCTGCGCTTCCAGCTGCCGGGCCACGAGGCTGCTACGCTACGGAATATGAACCAGCTCCGCGCAGAGGAGCGGTTCTGCGACGTGACCATTGTGGCCGACAGCCTCAAGTTCCGTGGCCACAAGGTCATCCTGGCTGCCTGCTCGCCATTCCTACGAGACCAGTTCTTACTGAATCCCAGCTCTGAGCTGCAGGTCTCGTTGATGCACAGTGCACGCATCGTAGCCGATCTGCTCCTTTCCTGCTACACTGGTGCCCTCGAGTTCGCAGTCAGGGACATCGTCAACTACCTAACCGCTGCCTCCTACCTACAAATGGAGCACGTGGTGGAGAAATGCCGGAACGCCCTCAGCCAGTTTATTGAGCCCAAAATAGGCCTTAAAGAGGATGGGGTCAGTGAGGCTAGCCTCGTGAGCAGTGTCAGTGCCACCAAGTCCCTCCTCCCTCCAGCCAGGACCCCAAAGCCAGCCCCTAAGCCCCCGCCCCCACCTCCTCTACCCCCTCCGCTCCTGCGGCCAGTGAAGCTGGAGTTCCCTCTTGATGAAGACCTGGAGCTGAAGGCCGAAGAGGAGGATGAGGACGAAGATGAGGACGTGTCAGACATCTGCATCGTCAAGGTGGAGTCTGCCCTCGAGGTGGCGCACCGGCTCAAACCCCCTGGAGGCCTGGGAGGGGGTCTGGGTATTGGGAGCTCTGTAAGCGGCCACCTTGGGGAGTTGGCCCAGAGTAGCGTGGCCCCCAGCACTGTAGCCCCACCACAAGGTGTGGTGAAGGCCTGCTACAGCCTGTCGGAGGACGCAGAAGGGGAGGGCCTGCTGTTGATCCCAGGAGGCCGGGCCAGTGTGGGGGCCACCTCGGGCCTAGTGGAAGCGGCAGCGGTGGCCATGGCTGCCCGGGGGGCGGGGGGCAGCCTTGGGGCAGGGGGCAGCCGGGGTCCCTTGCCAGGGGGTTTCTCAGGTGGAAACCCCTTGAAGAACATCAAGTGCACCAAGTGCCCAGAAGTGTTCCAGGGCGTGGAGAAGCTGGTCTTCCACATGCGTGCGCAGCACTTCATCTTCATGTGCCCACGCTGCGGCAAGCAGTTCAACCACAGCAGCAACCTCAACCGCCACATGAACGTGCACCGTGGCGTCAAGTCGCACTCATGCGGCATCTGCGGCAAGTGCTTCACACAGAAGTCTACACTGCACGACCACCTCAATCTGCACTCGGGAGCGCGGCCCTATCGCTGCTCTTACTGCGATGTGCGCTTTGCCCACAAGCCTGCCATTAGGCGGCACCTCAAGGAACAGCACGGCAAGACCACTGCGGAGAACGTGCTGGAGGCAAGCGTGGCTGAGATCAACGTCCTCATCCGCTAACTAGTGGAGCCAGCGTGGAGGCCAGGAGGCTGGGGTCCCTGGGCTGGTTGGGAAGAGGGGTTTTACGCCCAGGAGAATTGGGGGGTGGGGAATCTGGGGCAGACACATCCCTAGGGAGGGAGGGAGGAGATTCCTTGGAAAGAAGACCCTGCCTGTCAGCAGAAGAAAAGGATGGAGCTGGGGACAGGGTTCTTTGACAAGACCAAGGGAATATAGGGTCCCAAAGAAAGATTTCTTCTTGTAGAGGTGCATGGATATGTGGAGGGAGGGGAAGGGTCTTATACAATAAGGAAAAGCAAAGACTGGAAAATGTTTTTTTCCTGGCTAAGGCTGCCCAGGAGAAGGTTCCAACATTTGTTGAGGTAGGGGTGGGTGGGTGGGAATTGGGAGGGTATTTGGCAGGAGGCAATTTACTTGCTCCTGTTTAGAATAGATCTTGGGAGAGGGAGTGGTAAGGGGAAACGGTTACTGAATCCAGAAAAGGAACAGGGGAGTCAGTTCTTGCATGCTGGGGAAATGGGACTGTGGGTACAAGGCTCACCAAAATTGAAGAACAAAGTAAGGTGCCAGGTAAAAAACTAAGGTGAGCATCCTGGGTAGATATTGGGAAGTGGGGGTACAATAGCAAGAACAATGAATAGTGGAGGGGGTGGGGGGCAGGGCACATAGGAAAAGGACACAAGGAGGGCTGTTAGCGGGGAGGGAGAGGAGTAGAGACTTATACAGTATTTTTTAAGAAAAAACGTATTTTTTAGGATTTTTTCTGAAGTTTGGGGTTTTAGTTTTTCTGCTTTGTTTTCCACGAAATAAATTTTTTTTTCTTTATACTCTGGCAACTGCGTGTATATAACTGTCCACCCTAGACAGCCTCTCTCTTTAATGTTGTGTGCTCAGTAACCAAAAGTCACAAATTCACACAGGTCCCATGCCCAAAGGATCCCAGTTTTACACAGGACATAGAATGTGACAAATGAGCACCTCTGGCCAGAAAGATACACTCCTCCAGTTCTGCAACCTCAACTTATAGCCAGATACCTCATAGCACAAGTGACTGTCATCTGTAGTGATACACAAGTTGTTCCCCGACCTGCTGGATTTGGTATCAGTACCAAGAATGGGCTGCAGGTGGCTATACCCACTGAAATTGCAAATACACATCTGTGTTTTGGCATTTTTGTCTGGGGGAAATGGTTCATGTCTTGGGGAAAACTAAAAACCCACTAAACTTGCATAGGGTGTGGGGGAAACTACATTTCCCAGAAAGCTCTGGAAAGTTCTTAACCAGAGAACTACAGTTCCCAGAAGGCCTGGAATTGGCCTCAGATACCCCATACCTTAACAACCTGCCTGTGTCAAATACTGTTTGAAACCATACATTTATTTCCAAACTTTGACTAAGATGTAATACCTTCCGGGATGGCACTCTAAATCAGAGTTGTGTATCTTGGTGTGTGCCATTCATACATAAACTGTCAATTAAGCTACGACCCAAGGAGTGCCTCTATTCTTTAGGAAAAATGATTACTTACAGTAGTCACTCACTCGGGCCGCCGGGTTTACCTGGATCTCTAGCGCATATGGTGGCGGAACACGCCTGGCATAAGCAGAAGAGACATTTAGCCCCAGGTTTTCAAAAGGGAACGCCGCTCCAAGGGGCATGAAGCAGCCTGCTAGAGCGAGCCAATAGTATAGGTGTCCTCCGCATGTCCCTAACGCTCCCTTCTTGCTCGATAGACAGGCGAGGACCAAATGAGGCCGAGCCTTCTATCTGGTCGCCCAGAAACTAGAAAATACAGAAAAGCAATCAGAGTCAGGAGAAGCACAAGAGAATCAGAAAGCCAGCTTCCGAAAGCCAGGAGGGACAGACACTCTGCTTTTAAAACCAAGTGAGGATAGAGAAGCCACACCTGGATCCAGACTTGCCTCACCCTTAGTTCTCTGCAGAGCTGAGGCTGGGAAAGACAGGAATTCAGACCCGCAGTCCCCAGTTTAGGACAGCCACTGCCATCTCCGAGGCCGCTCTCAGGGGAAAATGGCTAGAATGCTCGTAGCGGCTCCTTTAAGCCTCCTCCTCGCCCCCCCTCCCTCGCCCACGTGACCCGGGGCGGCCGCGCGCCGGCTCGGCCCCTCGCGCAAGCGGCGATGGCGGCGGCGGCGGGAGCTGCAGCGGCGGCGGCCGCCGAGGTGCGGAAGGGGAGGGGGAGAGGCGGGTGCATGCCCGCGCGCGCGCCCGGGGGAAGCGCGCGCCCGTGCAATGCTCCGGGGGTGCAACGGGGCCGGGGGGCCCGGGCCGGACTTGCAGCAATCCAGGGGGCCAACACCGGGGGCGGATGAGGGGACCAGGGGGTGGGAGGTGGGGGGAGTGGGCACGGAGGCGCGCGTGCAGCCGCCGGCTGCCCCTGAGTGGGCGGCGGGCGCCGGGGCTCCGGGAGCACGCGCGAGGGGCACGAGGGGCCGTCCACCAGGCTGGGGGGCAGCGGGCGCTGGAGGGGTTGGTGCCCGGGGTCCCCGCGGCCTGGGGGACAAAGGGGGAGCGGCGCGTGCAGCCGGGAGGAGGGGGCGGGGCCGGGGCGCTGAGGCCCCGCCCCCTCCCCCTCCTCTCCTCTCGGCCCCAGAGATGCGGGGTCTACCGAGAGGGCGGGGGCTGATGCGGGCCCGGGGGAGGGGTCGTGCGGCCCCTCCGGGCAGCCGAGGCCGAGGAAGAGGGGGCCCCCATAGAGGAAGAGGTAGGCCCCGGAGCCTACTCTCTCTTCCCAGGGCCCAGGCGTCCTGGGCCCCCCAAATCCCTACCGGGCTGACCAGCCCCCCCGTCCCTTGTCTCCCCTCCCAGGGGGAGGCCCCCGCTGAGATGGGGGCACTGCTGCTGGAGAAGGAGCCCAGAGGAGCCGCCGAAAGAGGTGAGTGGGGTGGAAAAGGGCCCAGTTAGACCTTCACTTTACTGACAGAGGATCCCCAGAGTCCTCAGCCCTGAACTTTTTCTCTTCCCTACAGTTCATGGCTCTTTGGGGGACACCTCTCATAGTGAGGACACCCTGCCCAAGGCCAACACCGACTCCCTGGAACCTGCTGGCCCCTCATCTCCGGCCTCTGTCACTGTTACTGTTGGTGATGAGGGGGCTGACACCCCTGTAGGAGCTACACCACTCATTGGGGATGAACCCGAGAACCTGGAGGGAGATGGGGGCCGAATTCTGCTGGGTGAGAAGAAGGAGAGTCAGGGAGTGAGGGTGGGGTTCTATGACTCTGCTGCCTTCTTATCTTGCCTCTGCCTATCTCCCTGTCTTTTTCTAGGCCATGCCACAAAGTCATTCCCCTCATCCCCCAGCAAGGGAGGTGCTTGTCCCAGTCGGGCCAAAATGTCAATGACAGGGGCAGGGAAATCGCCCCCATCAGTCCAGAGCTTGGCTATGAGGCTACTGAGTATGCCAGGGGCCCAGGGAACTGCAGCAGCAGGGCCTGAACCCCCTCCAGCCACCACCAGCCCAGAGGGACAGCCCAAGGTACACCGAGCCAGGAAAACCATGTCCAAACCAGGAAATGGACAGGTAAGGATGAGGGGATGGAGTGGAAGTGGGAGGAAATGAGGTTATCCATGGTAAAGGTGTGTTTTGGTTTTTGTTGTTGTTGTTGTTAATGTAGTTTAGCTTCAGGCCCCTTCAGGTTTTCACAGATTTACCAAAGGGCTGCTATGTGTTAAATATTAGGCTGGGCTGGGCTTAGTCTGACTGATTCTCTCTTCCTGGAGTTTGTATTCTTGGGGGAAGGGTGGTAAGAATAGAAAAGAGGCATGTTGAAGGTTTACTTATAGTTTATATCCTAATTACTTTTTATGATAATGACTATGTAAAGGAACTTCCAACCTCTCTATTTTTCTACTTGAAAGCAAGTCCTGAAGGAGATTTTTCATCCCTTCTTGGAACTGCCTGTTCTATACCCTCCCACACACAAACACATACACATACATACATACACATGCTCTGTTTATTTATAAAGTCTGTACTGGGAATCTATCCTGAGAAGGAGATGAGGGCCACAGAAATGTCAGAAGAGGAAAGTGAAAAGGGTCCCCAAATCCTAGAAGGTTTACAACAAGGTGGGCTTTTTGGATTGGGGGTATTATTTTTTTTGGGGGGGTGGTCTTGTTTGTTTTTGTGTTACTCAGGATTAAACCCAGTGACATTCTAGCTCTGAGCTATATGCCTATCCATTTTTTAAATTTTGAGACAGAGGCTTGCTAAATTGCCCAGGCTGGTCTCAAACTTGTGATCCTCCTGCTTCCGCCTCTTGAGTAGTTGTGATTATAGGTGTGTGCCCCATGCCTGGCTATGACAAGGTTAAGGACTCCTGGAATTCCAAAAATAACATAAAAATTGCCTTATAATCCATTTTTAAGTGGACAGTTTAATGGTGTTAATATTCATAATGTGTAACCATCAATCTTCACAACCCTTTTTACCCTGTAAAACTTAAAACTACATGTCCATTAAACAATAACTCCCCATTCCCTCCTCCCTAGCCCTTGGCAACCACCATTCTAAGAGTGTCATTACTCTTAATTACCTTATACCCGTGCACTTATTCTTTTTGTGACTGGCTCATTTCATTTAGCATAATGTTTTCAAGATTCCTCCATGTTGTCATATGTGTCAGAATTTCCTTCCTTTTTAAGACTGAATAATATTCCATTGTTCATACATATTATCCCTTGATATCCCAAGGGGGATTTATTCCAAGCCCCCTTATTGATGCGAAAGTCCCTGAATGCTTAGGTCCTTTACATGAAACAATTTAGTATTTGCTTCTAAGGTACACATATCATCCTTTAAGTCAGCTCTGGGTTATTTTTAGTACAACTTAAGTGCTTCATAGTTATTACATTATAATGTAATGACAAAAAAAACCGCATGTTCGGTATAGGCAAAATTTTTTTCAAATATCTTTTGGCTTCAGTTTGTGGAACTTGTAGATACAGAAGGCTGACTTGGTGAACCACATTTTACTTTGTCCATTTATCACTCGGTGGACACCTGAGGCCAGGCCTGATGGTGCATGCCTATAATCCCATTGGCTTAGGAGGCTGAGGCAGGAGGAGTGCAAGTTCAAAGCCAGCTTCAGCAAAAGCGAGGCGCTAAGCAACACAGTGAGACCCTGTTTCTAAATAAAAAATACAAAAAAAAGGTCTGGGGATGTAGCTAAGTGTTTGAGTGCCCTTGAGTTTAATCCCTGGCACACCCCCCCCAAAAAAAAAAAATGGACACCTGTGTTGCTTTCACATCTTAGTTGTTATGGATACTGCTGCTGTGACTGTAGGTGGGCAGAGACCTTTTAACCTCCTGAGTTTGTGTTTTCACACACCTCCTCTTAGAA